GTGCACCCATGTCTTACGCTGGTGTGAAAACTCTTTCAAGGGAGCCCACCTGACCATCTAACAGGTTTGATAAGCAAATGTTTGGTGGCGTGTGACTAACATTATCAATGAAGAGCAGTCACAAACAGCATTTTGGCTACCTTTAGGGGAATAGTGTTTCCCTATCCACAACTCGTGTTCTAAGGTAACTGCGTTCGTAATTCCCTTTGGCAATAAAAATACTTGTGTTTAGCCGAATGAAAACGAGTGCCTAATTCTTCAAGTGAATGATGTTACCTTAGTTAGGCCGCATCATTTCTGATCAGATCAGGCCTCAACTGATGTGATCTTATACCCGTTTGGAGTTCGACTACTGCTGATGAGAGTTAATCCTTGAGAACGGAACGAGAATCAAAAAATCACGTTTTCTGTCCTGAACTCATTTCGCTCGTCTGATGACAGGAAATGGACTGGGCTCTGACGGAAACAGGCGGATGTATGACGAGTGTTCCTTAACAAGCGAATATGCTACTTAGTCCCTTACCAATTGTATCTACGGTTTCAAGACAAAACCTGCCAGTATATGGAGTTGTTCGATCTTTCACCTTTTCATGGGCGACTGCAACGAATGCGGCCGAAAGCTTTTTTTATGTGCATTCTGTAAGATACTAAACAAAATCTATCTGTTTGGGGAAGCGGATCAATGACCTAACCGCAATAAACAGCTGATCCCTTTTGGACCAAAAACCCACCAACCGACCAGCACGACGCGTGCTCCGAATGTGAACAGAATTTACGAATGGTGCGACAGTTTAAAGCTTGGATTGTACAGAAAGTGTACGGGAACAGTTTGAGCGAACCGAAGAGGGGAGATTCTCGGAAAGTTGGTGCCCTAAGGCCGCAACTTTTCACAAGCTTCAGCATGTTGAGTAGTCGTTCAAATGTTGGACAACTCACATGCCCAACTGATGTTTCGGACGCACTTTCATGTTGCATGCCGGTGCTCTTAGCATGCGTTGCTGAGATCATGGTCGAATGTCTTTTCTTCGATACACGAATAATCGTAGCTCAAGTGGCAGAGCTGGAGAGGCGTTACTGGTGCCCTGTGGTAAGGGTGCATATTACTAATCGCGAGTACAGCATGGTATGCATGCTTACGAGACCACTGATGTGCGTCAAAGGTTAGGACACATCCCGTAATTTGTGGCTCTTCAGCGAATGCTGGCTCTCCGGATCCCATCCTGTTACCTTACGTTAGCCCATAATGAAAGATCGAGAAATACTATGCAGTTGTTCTACCTTTCTTGAGGATGCTCATTAGTGTATATCCCACGAATTCCGATGGCGACTCGAATCTGCAATCCCTTAAGCTGAACAGTGGCTGGTCATCCGAGTCTCCTAAAATTAGCGAGATGTGCTTCACTGACGGTCCCCAATAACGAACAACTGAACAGTACTCCCGAACTTTTCAGCACATGTTGACCCGCAGAGTGGAGCCGAAAACCGTTATTGTTGAATATTCGGATGTGAGATCTGGAGGGATGTACGCAATAATTCGACAGCTTGAATACGCGTTGACTAACATTATCAATGAAGAGCAGTCACAAACAGCATTTTGGCTACCTTTAGGGGAATAGTGTTTCCCTATCCACAACTCGTGTTCTAAGGTAACTGCGTTCGTAATTCCCTTTGGCAATAAAAATACTTGTGTTTAGCCGAATGAAAACGAGTGCCTAATTCTTCAAGTGAATGATGTTACCTTAGTTAGGCCGCATCATTTCTGATCAGATCAGGCCTCAACTGATGTGATCTTATACCCGTTTGGAGTTCGACTACTGCTGATGAGAGTTAATCCTTGAGAACGGAACGAGAATCAAAAAATCACGTTTTCTGTCCTGAACTCATTTCGCTCGTCTGATGACAGGAAATGGACTGGGCTCTGACGGAAACAGGCGGATGTATGACGAGTGTTCCTTAACAAGCGAATATGCTACTTAGTCCCTTACCAATTGTATCTACGGTTTCAAGACAAAACCTGCCAGTATATGGAGTTGTTCGATCTTTCACCTTTTCATGGGCGACTGCAACGAATGCGGCCGAAAGCTTTTTTTATGTGCATTCTGTAAGATACTAAACAAAATCTATCTGTTTGGGGAAGCGGATCAATGACCTAACCGCAATAAACAGCTGATCCCTTTTGGACCAAAAACCCACCAACCGACCAGCACGACGCGTGCTCCGAATGTGAACAGAATTTACGAATGGTGCGACAGTTTAAAGCTTGGATTGTACAGAAAGTGTACGGGAACAGTTTGAGCGAACCGAAGAGGGGAGATTCTCGGAAAGTTGGTGCCCTAAGGCCGCAACTTTTCACAAGCTTCAGCATGTTGAGTAGTCGTTCAAATGTTGGACAACTCACATGCCCAACTGATGTTTCGGACGCACTTTCATGTTGCATGCCGGTGCTCTTAGCATGCGTTGCTGAGATCATGGTCGAATGTCTTTTCTTCGATACACGAATAATCGTAGCTCAAGTGGCAGAGCTGGAGAGGCGTTACTGGTGCCCTGTGGTAAGGGTGCATATTACTAATCGCGAGTACAGCATGGTATGCATGCTTACGAGACCACTGATGTGCGTCAAAGGTTAGGACACATCCCGTAATTTGTGGCTCTTCAGCGAATGCTGGCTCTCCGGATCCCATCCTGTTACCTTACGTTAGCCCATAATGAAAGATCGAGAAATACTATGCAGTTGTTCTACCTTTCTTGAGGATGCTCATTAGTGTATATCCCACGAATTCCGATGGCGACTCGAATCTGCAATCCCTTAAGCTGAACAGTGGCTGGTCATCCGAGTCTCCTAAAATTAGCGAGATGTGCTTCACTGACGGTCCCCAATAACGAACAACTGAACAGTACTCCCGAACTTTTCAGCACATGTTGACCCGCAGAGTGGAGCCGAAAACCGTTATTGTTGAATATTCGGATGTGAGATCTGGAGGGATGTACGCAATAATTCGACAGCTTGAATACGCGTTCTTTCCAAAATGCAGTGTTGTCCATTCGTTTAGTTCTACTCAGTCACACGTGATTTTCTCTCCATATACACCCTTGAAATGCACCCAACTCTATAAGATGAACTTAAACTGGTGGAATGATTCAGCGAGCCTTTCACTATTTACAGTAACCGCAAATCCCTTCACTCCTGCTTCGTGCACTCTTACCATATTTTTAACTCATCTTCGGATCAGTGTTAATCGCGAGACGCTCAGGATTCTACACGGTAATCTCAACTGGTCACATTGTCGTAGTTATTGGTTCAGCTCTTTGTGATACGCGACTTGAGGCATCATCCATCGTCTTTGGTAGAATCTTTAAACAGCGGAACTCCGAGTACCTCAATCCGTCATGTCCGACCTTGGCACAAGGAACTCTGCTAGTCATCGTTTGCATCAAATCTGTCCGGAACTGTCACTATCCTACACGTGTACAAAGTCTGAATGTTTCCCAGGACAGTTTCGTAATCACTTTTATGGCGAATATCCAGTAGACCAAATTTGTGCACATTACTTCCAACTTACCCTCTTATAGAATCACCCACCCTACTAACCCAGGTACATCCGTTTTAATCACATTTATGAAAACTGGAAACTTGTAACCATGTACTGGGAGCTCACCCCCACTAAGGTGCCCAGACCCATTCGTATAAACTATTTGCAAAGGCGGGATAAGGAGCCAAAAGTGCTGTCGTTGAGAGTGAAAACTTCGCAACTGAGTATCAGCCGAGTGATTTCATCACATTCCCGCTGATAAGCGCAATGCCAAGTCGTTTCGCACTGACTTCCGGAACTGACACTGTTTTAAGTGGCCATCGATCTACCAATTAGTACTGATTATACGGCTGTTCCCTAAAAGAAACCAATCCTAGTCGAACCAGGGACCTGTCAGTAAATTCACGTTCTAACCGCTTGAACCATCTCGCCTCCTACTGAAAACGTCAATTCGTGACTTGGAGCATCGCTATCGACAAGCTGGATTACTTGCCCTAGTATAGGCCTAACTATTAGTGTGGAATGAGAGTTCGTCCTTAAATATTCACATTTGGCAGCGAATTTCGTAGTTGGAAAAGCGATGCAGCGATATCATATGGGTCATGGCTTGTGTCAATATACTGAACAGCCTGTTGTTCAAATGCTAGGTGACGGCACCGAAGGCATCATTTGCTAAAACGACAAACCTTGACAGATCCGGTCGACCTGAATGTGTGTGTGGTCCGTAAACCGGTCGACTCGGAGGCCACAGCTTGAGCCCAGTGAAAGTTTCGGGACCTTTCGTCGAGGATGCCATAGTATGTGGAAGGCAGTAAATTCTCATTATTGACATCCTTATCAAAACCGCATACGAACGATATCTAAGAACATAGAAGTCGTATCTCAACCAAGAATTCATTTTTGGTGTCGGTAGACTGACATTTTAACCTGTAAAAACGCCAAGGGAAGAGAACGCTTTGGTCTAATTGGGGGGGAGGGGGTAGATCTAAAGCTAAATCACGATCACCGGGAATGCTAATGTCAACTCTTCGGAGTGATGTTTCTCGGAGAAGTTCTTCTTCACAGAGAGGAGAAGCAGGCGATCTGAAGCACATTCGTACTAACTCTTTTGTGTCACATTGAGAACAAATCCATTCGAATCACCAGCTTTGCTACAAGCTCGCTGTCAGTTATCTATAACCAAACCACAATCCGCAACAACATTAATCTCACCAAGTCAATCGCTTGATTCTTCCTGAGATCAAAGAACGAAGAGATCTTTCGAAGGATACATTTATTGATATCAAATAGTTGAAGTGCGTCCTCGCAGGAGGTAGGGCGGTCTCTGTTGGATCTAAAGCACAATAGTGTTTAAATAATCGAACATACCGTGACTTCCTTCGTACTGCCCCTCGGTTTTCTGCCCCTCGCGGGTCCAGTTTTAGACGGTGTCTGCTGAACTGCTTCTAGAAGATTGATAAGAGCCGTAGACTAGATATTTCCTTCCGTACCTGGGTCACCGCTTCGACATCTAACAGAGAATCTTTTCTTCTTCAGAGAGGATACACTGGAACTTGGACAGGCATCGGTTGATTGGGGAGTTCTTGTACGCCTTTTTCGAGTTGGATCTGTCTTGGCTGCAGTGACCGTTAGTTTTCGTCCATCTTCTGTTGGTTTAAGGCGATACAAACAATCCAAAGGATATAATTACCCAATCCAACCAGGCCCACGGTTTCTGGGGCCTTGCTCGGGGGAATGCCTGTTTCTTCCTTCAGACACTTTCCTTTAACCCGACTAGCAGTAGGTTGTGTGCATGTTGAAGCTGAAACAATTGGGTTTGCTGAAGGTGAGGTATGAAAAAACTAGTCACCTGAGATGGAGTCGCGACTGCGCAAGGCCTTCCGTTGTGCTGATGAAGTTCTCCGAAGTACGAGTTTACTATCCGATTGTGGGGTCTTTATACGCCTTCGTGAAACCAGCGGCACTGCACTCAGAAGTTTCTTGGTATCATTATACTGTACCGAATCAACAGAACCAGTGGCCACTGCCCTTGTATCATGTGGAGCACCATATATAGAGGGAGTTGGATCTGAAGGCGATAAGTAGCATGTTAGGTTAGATTGTACCTGGAATGGAATTTCCACTCGTAAACGGGAGCTCAAGTTTTTCTGACGAGTTTCCATTGCCTACTGCGGGTGAGACTGCAATATGCGCAGTGTTTGAGAGGCGCTTAATCGGCGTCGTGACTGGAGATTTTTGCGTCTCTGCATACTGGAGGCAAGTCAAGAAATCGGCAACATTTGAAGTATTAAACGTACGTGTCCCATCTGAATTGATGTGGTAGCGGAACTTTTCTAACTTACCTAAGAGATCTCGACGTCTAACGGTCGATTTGCGCTTTCCAAGTGTGGGGTCCCCTGTAGTTGAATGAATGATTCTCGACCCACTGTGTTGGACGACTGGTGTTGTCTCCAGAACAGGTGTTGATTGTTCACAATGCTGTAATTGATCATCCGCGGTTATAGTATCAATGCAGCCAAGTTGGGTCTCGTCTGCATTTTTGCAAGTAAGTTCAGTAATGCCGTTGACTTGATTGGGCCGCTCAGTCACATTATGACTCTTCGCTGAACGAGTTGAGGGAGTCTCCAAGCGCACATGTTGACTCTTACCAACCATGGATTCTACCTTGCAGGCTGCATCTTATACAACAATCAGAGTATTTAAACTGACTTACTTGAAGAATCTTGCCGCCTACTTGAAGATCGTCGAACTTCATTACGACCGATAGATGAGCCTTGTGAACCAGGTGTTTTTAACCTTGATTGTCGAGTTACGCGTCCTGAACTATTCGCAGTTGCCGGTTGAGACTCCGAAAGACCCACGACCTCTGACTCATCAGTTTGAACCAACTGAACTTGGTCTACTGTGACATCTGTGCACACCAGGAATAAAGTAAAATGCAAATATCCCGAGCAACTGAACTCAACCATCCGGTTTTTCGATAGATTCGGGAAACTCCCAAACAGTATATGGACTCCCTCAGGATAGACTGCTCAACAAAATGATGCATCTAAACCTTCAATGATCTCAACGTTCAATTCGGAGCCGCATAACATCATAACTGGTATCCTATTGCAAGTAGATAGAATCACGTTGACACAAAGTGGTGCGATCACATGTGATGACAGCCTCACAAAAATGGGTGCATACATGTATGCACACCAAGATGATCATCGAGCAGACAAAGCAATTAAAACCATGGCCAACTACAGTAGACCACGTGTGTACGATCTCAGTCTAGCTTACCACCGACGCAGATCATCCCCACAACGTTCGCCTCCCAACTGCGTGTGGACTTTTCGTAATGTTAAAAATGCCGTTCTGTGACCGCCTTGTGTAGACCAAAATTGCTAGCTATGAGGGCACCCTGAACATGATCTAGGAGAGGTGCGGACTCCCAGCCCAACCTTCTGGAAACCATGATTCGTTATCCTCGGTTGATTTGACCACTATGGATCGACTTTCCTACAGCGATCCCGATTTCTGGCTGTGTTTGAATTTCCTTACCTAGACTGTGTTAGTTTGAACAACAGTGTGAAAAATATGGAGTACATCCAGCGATTAAGGGCAGTATAATGCATAAAGAAAGATATGCTGGCCCATACTAGTTTTTATCGGCTCCTGAACAAAAGCCTCTTAACTCGAACCAGGAGTACGCTCACGTGTCGGATCAGTAACTGCATCCATACTCCCGGGCAACCGATTCGTGCTAAGAGTATTTTAACAGTAACTCGACCGGATGGTCGCACAGATTTAGGGGTCGTCCAGTTACCTGAATCTTTACTTCCATTTTCCAGCGATGAGTTCTTATCCGGTGGGGGCTCGTCATTACTTGGATGCAAATCTCCGATTGGTGACACAGCAAGCGTTGTTCTTTTGGGTCTCGGTGTCTCAGCACATTTCGCGTAACCCGTAACGGCGGTTTCCTGTGAAGCCTTTCCCGACTGTGATATCTGTGGTCGAAGATAGTCGAACAATTCATCTGGGAGAGTGAATTTGAAAAGCGACACAAATACCTGGATGAAGGAGAGGCGATTTGGGGGAAATACTATGTTTTACACAGGGTCTTCCATTAGGAGCCGAATCAGACTGCATCGTCTCCACGTGCCCCTGTAGTGTATCCAGTGAATCCTTAGGAGATCGCAAGTGGAGATACTCCACGATAATCGATTTTTTGGAAGTAGCTCCCTCACCGTCTGTTGCATTCGGAATGCCTCAAATAAAGGAAATCAGATCAAGTACCTTGGTGACGAATATCGGATTTCTTTGAAAAAATGGAGGCGGTCGTATCCATTTCGGTAGCGGCGACCGAACACGATGGATCGTCGTAATCCATGCTAAGGGGTGACTGGATGACATTTACTTTACTTATTCATTATAACGGAAATTAAGATCCAACCTGCATTGTCCCCAATTGTGATTGCGGGTTCCAGAGTACCAGTAGTCTCAACAACTACGTTCGGCTCCGATAACTGTCCAGTTACGGGCAGTACGCTCAGTTCCGTTATATGTACTGTTGACTCCAAATGCTTGAAGTCAATGACACCTTTCAGGTTCGAAGAAATAACCTCGGATATCAAATGCGCTCCATCGGTTGGTGACTGCCTGGGGGTGTGCGTCAGAGCAGGATCTCGAAAACAGGACCGTAAAAACATAAACAACGAAATACCTCACCTTTAACGCTCTTCTTCTTCTTCGACATCAACAGAGATTTCTGGATAAGTTTTTTGCTTTTCTTGGAGGATGACTGGATCTTCTTTTTCAGGCCCGCTTCTAATTTATCCGATTCAATTTTAACATTCTGTGTAGCTGTTGGGCTCAACAACTCCACAAAGTCTTCAAGTTCATAATTGTTAATGATGGTTTGCAGAACTTGTTCATCTGAGAGATCCTGGCTTTCGAGGGGTGCTGTTATTTTACCATTTCCATTGTAAATCCATGTAATTAGGCTATGCGCATGGAGGTAATTTGCAACAAAATCCTACAGGAAATGAACAAAAAATTGGCGTACTTTGGGGGAAAAGATAGGCGCTGCGATCTCAACAGATGCCCATTTATACAATGCTATCAGTCTAACCGCGTTAGTCGGGCATTTGAAGTAGGCCCTAGGCAAGCAGAATATTCGTCTAAACGGTTGGATGAAGTTAATTTAATCTCCAACCTGCAAATGCCATGTGCAAATTCACTGGTGCCAGTCACCGTAGTCATTTGCAGCAGCACGTCGATCAAGTAAATTGGCGTCCCCACTAAAGTGAGTTCGCACCACGATGCTTCATTCGAAGATGGTGGTGAACTGGGAAAAGGATGGGTGTTTCAAGCAAGAAAGTATTACACATACCCAGCCCAAAACTTGCAGTCCATGAAAGCAGCCAATAAAGAAGCCAGGACAGCGAATTCTCGTAAACTGTACGGCTTAGTGGGTGCACAGTGGATTTCCAAAAAGAACTTACCTGACGGCGATTCACATTTCTCACGAAAAACGCGGAGAAAAACTTCTTCAGACTAACCAGTATTGACCTGAAAACATATGGTTATACTCGTTGAAGGAAACTTACTCGGCATTGTCCTTTTTCAGGTTGGTGTGCATCCACCTGTGCGAATAAAAGGTTAACCAAAATGACAGGCCAAGAAAAAGACCTTCCCTGAGAATGAAAAAGATACACTGGCGAACCAAGCCACAAGTTACCAGGACTTTTCGTTGACTATTTCAGTATTCCCCCGTAAAAAAATAATTACTGACACCTCGCCGATGGCTACTTTTGGGACATCTTCACAGGTCGGAAGCGAATCATGTCGCGGTCTTATTGAGAAAGTAGTCGATCCCCAGTATTCTCATTAAGCTCGATTGTGACTGATATGTTAACTGGGACAACGTATGGGAATTTGGACAAATAATGAGTGGTAAATTAGGTTGCCAAAGCCGTGCAAGCTATGTAAACTCCTTCGGGAAGTGGACTGAAGCTCCCTTAAGAAAAACGAGGTATTTGTCGTTCAAGCAAGCCCACAAAGGTAAATCATTCCACTCCGGATCCAAAAAATATCGGAATTCACCCCCGAACGTCCATGCCCTTTCTGTTAGGATTAGCGTACATCCTAACCCATTTCCCCAACTGTTGCGAACTTGGAAGTCTACTTATCTACTCACCAGATTTTCATAGTTAGCAAACTGCCAACATGAAGCATTCTTTCTCCAGTCGAATACGGCGTGGCAAACACATGAAGTAAACCTCACAATCAGTATGTGACAATGGTGTGATTAACTTCCGGGCATTGTCCAGGACGGATCTATATTGCCCACCTTTGGTTCACGCCAATATTTACCACTAAATGTGTCGGTATTCAAGCGTAATGTAAAACAAACCCATTTGTTGGCGACTCCAGCCAACCTCATAAACGCGGTTGGTGACCTTTAAGGTAGTATATAACGAGTCATCTACATCAGCTAAAGTCTCAATAAGAACATAGGGCGGTGTTTAGTTTTTTAACCCCTATGCAGCTGGGTTCACTCCCAAAATTCCTACTGTGATCCTTCCTGATGGAGAAGGTACCTCGGGAATAGGCATTTTGTCGGCTATAAAATGTGTCAAAGCAAAATGCACCGATGTCAGGACTTTGAGCTAAAAGGTAAATAACCGGTCAAACACATTCATTCTTCTGACAGGTTAAGCTCACTATATTACAGTGGCAACTCGAACCTTGGGATCATTTGTCCCAAGTGTACAAAACACAGCACTTAACTCCCACCGATCACGAGCTACGCGAAATCGCCCTAGTCAGCTTTAACCCTGTTTAAGTTGGAGCAATAAACGAGCAATGAAATTTCCGGCATTTGTGTCTTAGGTTGGTGAAATGGAGTGTGCTTCAGCCCGTAGTTCGTCTAGAGGACAGCACAAAAGTACGTGTTTAAACTATCCCGAGCGGCTTCTGAAACGCTTGGGTCGCAAACACCGAGATCGAATATGAATATGTACCTGTATTTAGGAAACGAACGTGAGAACCTCAGGCTACAGTTTAAGCCGGATACTCAAACGCGGCACCCACTGGACTGCGAAATCCGCACTTCGTCCGAAGACAGTTAAAATTGGACCTCCAGGCCAACCCCTCATAGTCGGATTTAGTATATTGCCTATATTACTTCAGAAGGCTCTGGTATCCCAGTTGTCCCAATCGAAAGTTTGAATAATGACTTGTCAGCGCCGTTCAGGTACGCGTTGGCAACAAATGTTCCGAAACTCATCACCTGAAGGAGAGCGGGATGCCGTACGGCAACATAAAGGGTCCGGACGGTGACCTAGGGTAGTCTACCAATACACTGCAGGACAAAATCAGCAGAAAAACCAACAGGTGAAAGCACATTTCTGGAAGCCCTTGGTCGTTTGTCAGGAAAGATATCCACTATAGGTTATCTTTACACACAGCAGGCATCCATAAACAAAACAGTGTCTGCTCTGGATTGCGCTACACACCGACCTGCATCCTCCTACTCGAGGATTTCACTAGAATTGAAACCATGTCGACAAAAAAGTCTGAGCAACTTTGTTCAACTGTCATTGTTTTATTTTGCGTGAGTGGACAAAAAGCTTCCTTGAATTTTGCTTCAAGGTGGACATTTACAAGACGTTGCACTTCACAATCTAGTGGTAGATCTCTCAAAAAATGAACCCAATCATTAAAACTGGAGTTTGAGCGAAATCGAGTCGTGTGCATTCTGAGTAAAGCTCACCTTTCAATATTATAAAATGCCTGTTTGTTCTTCGGGTCGTGAATATATCGTTCCACTAGTTCCTCTAGTGTAGTGTGTGACGAATTCATCGCAGTGTCTTTGTTAGAATGACTAGGTTGAAAAGGGAAAGCATCGAAATTAGCGGTGTATCACAAACATAGCTATTGTAACTCTGAAGCTGACCTCAAGCGGAAGATAAAGATTATATGGGCTATAGCAGACAGCGACAGCAACTTATTTACTGTTCCTTCTTCCTACAACTGGTAGGGCGTACTATTGGTCCGATTTTCCTAACAGACCTTATCAATGCTTGGGAAAGGCACAGAGCTTCCGTAATGTCATTCGCGCACACAGGTGACGATTCTGATTCATGGATCAGTATGGATCGCAAAGCCGCAGTAATTTTAGCCCTTGGCAGACAACCGACCGCCATGTCGGTGCTATAGGCGTCAAAGGTTAGCAAAAGCTGCACTGGCCTTCCTGACCTGAGAAGTAATCTTGTCTCTAGCCAGTCCAGAACCTATACAACTACCTAATTGAGCAAATTCATCCACCACATCAACTGGATCGTTTCCAAGCATGAAGTTTGGGCTTGATCGCACTTAGTCTTGTGGCAGTACTTTACACTTTGTACGTGTGAAGCGCATGCCGACCCGTGCAGCAGAATTATTTAGGTTATTTAAGAGGGTTTACATTCTTGAATAATCTGAATCAAACTCATCATCATTGTCAGCTGCAATAACTGCGTACTTGTCGTAGAGTGATTGTAGCTGCCTCAGTTTCGTTCACCGATGATTCGGGGAGGTGGGGTAGGTAGCTGCGCATTGGAGGCGGGAGCTGATAAATTAGTGCGTAAATACAGCACTGTAGGTAGAGTATTAGGTGGGGGTTGGGAAGGGAGCTATGCATTGAAGGTAATAGCTTGGATGCACCAGCGCATTGATGGCACGACTGGGTCATGTCTGACAATGTCTCTAGCCATTGATATAGGCCGCCCCGGGGTCTCCATCAAAGAAGACGGCAATGACCAGCACGGCTGAGTTTGCTGATAATGGCTTTTATACTTCGCTGCCAAGCCATTGTTTGACCGCCTCTGGCTCTCTTCCACCCTTAACGTAGTTGTGCGGAAAGAGCCCTTCGAGGAAGTCGGTCGACTGACATACGCAGCACGTGAACAAGCCAGCGCAACCTGTGCAGTGTGATCAGTTTATCGATCGAGGGTGAGTTATTTCTCCCGGATACCATTCGACGTACTTCAGCATTGCTTATATGGTGTTCCCACCAGATTCGGGCAATGCTCCGAAGACATCGGTAGTCAAACACTGAAAGTCTTTTGACGTCGTCGGCACGCAGCGGCCAGGTTTATGGTCCGCATAGTAACATGAAGCGCACTGCAACATTGTAAACTCGACCCGTGATAGAGAAGTTGATGTCACACCTACGCCACAGGTGACGCAGGTTCGCGAAAGCTGCTCTGTCCCACCCCCAATCCGAATGACAAATATTGTCTTTCGCGAGACCACCGGGACTTATATAGCTGCCCAGGTAAACAACTTTGTCTACTACCTCAATGGGTTCATCATCAAGCACGAGGCTAAGGTTCGAGCCCACCTATTCTTGAAGCAGCTCTTCACACTTTGCAGGTGTGAAGCGCATGCCGAACCGTAAGGCGGAATTATTTAAATTATTTAATATTGCTTGCACTACCACAAGGTCAGATCCAAGAAGAGCGTACTCGATATCTGTGAGCGGACGTCCCGGGAGTATTTCTACCCCACAGGCATTAGAGGCTGGTAGTGAGTCTTCCATGATCTCTTCAATGACGAAGTTGAAAAGGGAATGTGAAAGAGGACAGTCCTGTTGGACACCACTTGATGTGGTGAACTGAGAAGAGAGCTTCCCGTAGACCTTCACACGACCGCGGGAGTTGGCGTACAGCGCCTTAAGGAGGGTCAAGAATTTGTGGGGGACACCTTTGCTCCACAGACACTGCCATAGTGCCTGACGGTCCGCAGAGTCAAAGGCAGATTTCAATCACGACCACTGTTGGCTTCCGGAAGCAGTGTCGCTGTTCCAGAATCTGTCAGAGGGTGAAGGTATGATCGATTCAATCTCTTTCAGGACGGAACCCAGCTTGGTTTTCACGGATCTGCCTCTCCCCGTGTTCAGTCGACCTTCGAAGGATAAGACCAGAGAGTACCTTTGATGCCACAGGTAACGGGCTGATGCCACACTGGTTTTCACACAGCGTCCGCGTACCCTTTATATAGATGCGGATAACTGTCGACATGCCCCATTCTGCAGGCAACTTCTTTCTGCTCCATATAGCAGCAATAAGCTTTGTCGGAAGGGTCGCCAGAGATTCTCAGTAAGTAGGCCCTAGGCAAGCAGAATATTCGTCTAAACGGTTGGATGAAGTTAATTTAATCTCCAACCTGCAAATGCCATGTGCAAATTCACTGGTGCCAGTCACCGTAGTCATTTGCAGCAGCACGTCGATCAAGTAAATTGGCGTCCCCACTAAAGTGAGTTCGCACCACGATGCTTCATTCGAAGATGGTGGTGAACTGGGAAAAGGATGGGTGTTTCAAGCAAGAAAGTATTACACATACCCAGCCCAAAACTTGCAGTCCATGAAAGCAGCCAATAAAGAAGCCAGGACAGCGAATTCTCGTAAACTGTACGGCTTAGTGGGTGCACAGTGGATTTCCAAAAATAACTTACCTGACGGCGATTCACATTTCTCACGAAAAACGCGGAGAAAAACTTCTTCAGACTAACCAGTATTGACCTGAAAACATATGGTTATACTCGTTGAAGGAAACTTACTCGGCATTGTCCTTTTTCAGGTTGGTGTGCATCCACCTGTGCGAATAAAAGGTTAACCAAAATGACAGGCCAAGAAAAAGACCTTCCCTGAGAATGAAAAAGATACACTGGCGAACCAAGCCACAAGTTACCAGGACTTTTCGTTGACTATTTCAGTATTCCCCCGTAAAAAAATAATTACTGACACCTCGCCGATGGCTACTTTTGGGACATCTTCACAGGTCGGAAGCGAATCATGTCGCGGTCTTATTGAGAAAGTAGTCGATCCCCAGTATTCTCATTAAGCTCGATTGTGACTGATATGTTAACTGGGACAACGTATGGGAATTTGGACAAATAATGAGTGGTAAATTAGGTTGCCAAAGCCGTGCAAGCTATGTAAACTCCTTCGGGAAGTGGACTGAAGCTCCCTTAAGAAAAACGAGGTATTTGTCGTTCAAGCAAGCCCACAAAGGTAAATCATTCCACTCCGGATCCAAAAAATATCGGCATTCACCCCCGAACGTCCATGCCCTTTCTGTTAGGATTAGCGTACATCCTAACCCATTTCCCCAACTGTTGCGAACTTGGAAGTCTACTTATCTACTCACCAGATTTTCATAGTTAGCAAACTGCCAACATGAAGCATTCTTTCTCCAGTCGAATACGGCGTGGCAAACACATGAAGTAAACCTCACAATCAGTATGTGACAATGGTGTGATTAACTTCCGGGCATTGTCCAGGACGGATCTATATTGCCCACCTTTGGTTCACGCCAATATTTACCACTAAATGTGTCGGTATTCAAGCGTAATGTAAAACAAACCCATTTGTTGGCGACTCCAGCCAACCTCATAAACGCGGTTGGTGACCTTTAAGGTAGTATATAACGAGTCATCTACATCAGCTAAAGTCTCAATAAGAACATAGGGCGGTGTTTAGTTTTTTAACCCCTATGCAGCTGGGTTCACTCCCAAAATTCCTACTGTGATCCTTCCTGATGGAGAAGGTACCTCGGGAATAGGCATTTTGTCGGCTATAAAATGTGTCAAAGCAAAATGCACCGATGTCAGGACTTTGAGCTAAAAGGTAAATAACCGGTCAAACACATTCATTCTTCTGACAGGTTAAGCTCACTATATTACAGTGGCAACTCGAACCTTGGGATCATTTGTCCCAAGTGTACAAAACACAGCACTTAACTCCCACCGATCACGAGCTACGCGAAATCGCCCTAGTCAGCTTTAACCCTGTTTAAGTTGGAGCAATAAACGAGCAATGAAATTTCCGGCATTTGTGTCTTAGGTTGGTGAAATGGAGTGTGCTTCAGCCCGTAGTTCGTCTAGAGGACAGCACAAAAGTACGTGTTTAAACTATCCCGAGCGGCTTCTGAAACGCTTGGGTCGCAAACACCGAGATCGAATATGAATATGTACCTGTATTTAGGAAACGAACGTGAGAACCTCAGGCTACAGTTTAAGCCGGATACTCAAACGCGGCACCCACTGGACTGCGAAATCCGCACTTCGTCCGAAGACAGTTAAAATTGGACCTCCAGGCCAACCCCTCATAGTCGGATTTAGTATATTGCCTATATTACTTCAGAAGGCTCTGGTATCCCAGTTGTCCCAATCGAAAGTTTGAATAATGACTTGTCAGCGCCGTTCAGGTACGCGTTGGCAACAAATGTTCCGAAACTCATCACCTGAAGGAGAGCGGGATGCCGTACGGCAACATAAAGGGTCCGGACGGTGACCTAGGGTAGTCTACCAATACACTGCAGGACAAAATCAGCAGAAAAACCAACAGGTGAAAGCACATTTCTGGAAGCCCTTGGTCGTTTGCCGGGAAAGATATCCACTATAGGTTATATTTACACACAGCAGGCATCCATAAACAAAACAGTGTCTGCTCTGGATTGCGCTACACACCGACCTGCATCCTCCTACTCGAGGATTTCACTAGAATTGAAACCATGTCGACAAAAAAGTCTGAGCAACTTTGTTCAACTGTCATTGTTTTATTTTGCGTGAGTGGACAAAAAGCTTCCTTGAATTTTGCTTCAAGGTGGACATTTACAAGACGTTGCACTTCACAATCTAGTGGTAGATCTCTCAAAAAATGAACCCAATCATTAAAACTGGAGTTTGAGCGAAATCGAGTCGTGTGCATTCTGAGTAAAGCTCACCTTTCAATATTATAAAATGCCTGTTTGTTCTTCGGGTCGTGAATATATCGTTCCACTAGTTCCTCTAGTGTAGTGTGTGACGAATTCATCGCAGTGTCTTTGTTAGAATGACTAGGTTGAAAAGGGAAAGCATCGAAATTAGCGGTGTATCACAAACATAGCTATTGTAACTCTGAAGCTGACCTCAAGCGGAAGATAAAGATTATATGGGCTATAGCAGACAGCGACAGCAACTTATTTACTGTTCCTTCTTCCTACAACTGGTAGGGCGTACTATTGGTCCGATTTTCCTAACAGACCTTATCAATGCTTGGGAAAGGCACAGAGCTTCCGTAATGTCATTCGCGCACACAGGTGACGATTCTGATTCATGGATCAGTATGGATCGCAAAGCCGCAGTAATTTTAGCCCTTGGCAGACAACCGACCGCCATGTCGGTGCTATAGGCGTCAAAGGTTAGCAAAAGCTGCACTGGCCTTCCTGACCTGAGAAGTAATCTTGTCTCTAGCCAGTCCAGAACCTATACAACTACCTAATTGAGCAAATTCATCCACCACATCAACTGGATCGTTTCCAAGCATGAAGTTTGGGCTTGATCGCACTTAGTCTTGTGGCAGTACTTTACACTTTGTACGTGTGAAGCGCATGCCGACCCGTGCAGCAGAATTATTTAGGTTATTTAAGAGGGTTTACATTCTTGAATAATCTGAATCAAACTCATCATCATTGTCAGCTGCAATAACTGCGTACTTGTCGTAGAGTGATTGTAGCTGCCTCAGTTTCGTTCACCGATGATTCGGGGAGGTGGGGTAGGTAGCTGCGCATTGGAGGCGGGAGCTGATAAATTAGTGCGTAAATACAGCACTGTAGGTAGAGTATTAGGTGGGGGTTGGGAAGGGAGCTATGCATTGAAGGTAATAGCTTGGATGCACCAGCGCATTGATGGCACGACTGGGTCATGTCTGACAATGTCTCTAGCCATTGATATAGGCCGCCCCGGGGTCTCCATCAAAGACAATGACCAGCACGGCTGAGTTTGCTGATAATGGCTTTTATACTTCGCTGCCAAGCCATTGTTTGACCGCCTCTGGCTCTCTTCCACCCTTAACGTAGTTGTGCGGAAAGAGCCCTTCGAGGAAGTCGGTCGACTGACATACGCAGCACGTGAACAAGCCAGCGCAACCTGTGCAGTGTGATCAGTTTATCGATCGAGGGTGAGTTATTTCTCCCGGATACCATTCGACGTACTTCAGCATTGCTTATATGGTGTTCCCACCAGATTCGGGCAATGCTCCGAAGACATCGGTAGTCAAACACTGAAAGTCTTTTGACGTCGTCGGCACGCAGCGGCCAGGTTTATGGTCCGCATAGTAACATGAAGCGCACTGCAACATTGTAAACTCGACCCGTGATAGAGAAGTTGATGTCACACCTACGCCACAGGTGACGCAGGTTCGCGAAAGCTGCTCTGTCCCACCCCCAATCCGAATGACAAATATTGTCTTTCGCGAGACCACCGGGACTTATATAGCTGCCCAGGTAAACAACTTTGTCTACTACCTCAATGGGTTCATCATCAAGCACGAGGCTAAGGTTCGAGCCCACCTATTCTTGAAGCAGCTCTTCACACTTTGCAGGTGTGAAGCGCATGCCGAACCGTAAGGCGGAATTATTTAAATTATTTAATATTGCTTGCACTACCACAAGGTCAGATCCAAGAAGAGCGTACTCGATATCTGTGAGCGGACGTCCCGGGAGTATTTCTACCCCACAGGCATTAGAGGCTGGTAGTGAGTCTTCCATGATCTCTTCAATGACGAAGTTGAAAAGGGAATGTGAAAGAGGACAGTCCTGTTGGACACCACTTGATGTGGTGAACTGAGAAGAGAGCTTCCCGTAGACCTTCACACGACCGCGGGAGTTGGCGTACAGCGCCTTAAGGAGGGTCAAGAATTTGTGGGGGACACCTTTGCTCCACAGACACTGCCATAGTGCCTGACGGTCCGCAGAGTCAAAGGCAGATTTCAATCACGACCACTGTTGGCTTCCGGAAGCAGTGTCGCTGTTCCATAACCTGTCAAAGGGTGAAGATATGATCGATTCAATCTCTTTCAGGACGGAACCCAGCTTGGTTTTCACGGATCTGCCTCTCCCCGTGTTCAGTCGACCTTCGAAGGATAAGACCAGAGAGTACCTTTGATGCCACAGGTAACGGGCTGATGCCACACTGGTTTTCACACAGCGTCCGCGTACCCTTTATATAGATGCGGATAACTGTCGACATGCCCCATTCTGCAGGCAACTTCTTTCTGCTCCATATAGCAGCAATAAGCTTTGTCGGAAGGGTCGCCAGAGATTCTCAGTCTTCCTTGAAGAGGGCTGGATACAGAACGTCCGTGGTAGGTAGTAGGGCTATTTCGTACCTTATTTCTTCTTTCGAAGGGCGAACAAGGTTAACATTCCATTCGCCCGTAAGCATTATCCAGGCTATATTCGTACCTTATTTCTTCTTTCGAAGGGCGAACAAGGTTAACATTCCATTCGCCCGTAAGCATTATCTCCACAGGCTATATTGCAGGAGGCCAGCTGAGCTGTTCTTCGAAGTGTTCGGCTCATTTTTCCAGTCAACTTTTTTGCGGGGGAATTAATGAGCCATCTTTCTCAATTATCGTTTCGCTGATCGTTGCTTTCCTGGGACCGTTCGGTCGTATCAGTTGATACAGGGCACTGTTGTTTCCCGTTGCAAAGGCCTTCTCTATCTCCAGAGCTTTCGATGTCCACCAGAGCTCCGAGTCTTACCTTAGACTCTTCACTATTAGGCGTTTGAGGGATTTGCGTGCGCCTTCGAACTTGTTGCCTGTCTGAGTCACTGTCTGTGAAAAGATGTCCAGGGAGCAGTTCAACTCCTGAGGTTTCAGGGGCAGGCGGAGAAATGTCAAGCACCACACCAAGAACAAAGTTGGAGAGGAAAAGCGAGAGAGTACAGCGTTATTTTACACCACTGGACGTTACGAACCCAGGCAAACGCTAGCCATATACCTTTTTTGTCCAGAGAATTTCGCATACAGTCCCGCCACATAAGAAAAACGAGAGGTTCAACTGGATTTCAGGTGCTTACCGCAAAACCGAATTGGTTTGCAAATGGATGTATTCGGAAGAAGCACCTTTGATCGCTAGACCCCACCAAAGTTTCTGGGGATCGACAGAGTCAAACAGCTTTCAGATCCCGGAAAACGACCAAAGTTGGTCATTTGAAAGGGCAATGTTCAATTCTTACGATCCTGTCTCTCCCGGCAATCGACAAACCTGCGAAAAACAGTATCGGAGAGCACCTTAGATGCGATGGATGCCAGGTTGATGCCACAATGGTTTTCCTACGATGTTTGTGCACCTTTCCAAACACTAGGATGACAGTAGAGAAGGTCCATTACACTGGTATTCTATTTCAGTTCCAAATCTTTTGCAGCACGGTGGTAAAACTATTCACCAGGACCTCCATCCTCTTTGAAAAGTGCGGGGATGAGACGATTCGGACCAGGTGCCTTATCACATTGAAAGGTTGATATCTCACGCCGGATTTCTTTTGTTGACGGCGGGCTGGTGTTGACGTTAACTCAGGTTCACTGCGTTCTTTGAGGTTGTGATGAAGGCCAGCTAAACTGTTATTTGAAACGCTCAGCCCATCGATCAAGAGGACCATTTTGTGAGAGAGAAACCACTCAGCTGTAGCACCCTTCCGGTGCCTAGCTGCTATGCCACTCGAAGGAAGCACGAGGGATGGGATGCTGCTAGGTTGCCCAAACCTAGACAGGAGAAGTCGAGAGGCAGGGGTCGGGTTCGAACCATGAACCTTCCAGTCAGTGAATTCGCGCTCTTAAGCAATCTCGCCCATTTTGAGTGAAATTCCGCTCCGTCTTTTTCGTCGACACCTGTCTTTTGTTGACCGGTTGATCGAATTAGCGCAAATAGGGCGCGCAACCTATTCTGGCGGATATTTTCCGAAACCGGATGATTTTGACGAATGTCCTTTTCAGTACCGTGGATCGCCTGCTTGTATCACTGCAACATAAGCGTCCGGAACTGCCTCGAGGCACATGGACACTAATGAGAACACTTCGGTCATGTCCAAATAGAAAAGTTTCCCCCAGGGGAATACACCCACTTAGGTATAGCGACCCAGTAAACACGTCACCGTATCCTGTTACATTTGTTTTCAGAAGGCTTTTATGAAACAAATGCTATGTTTAGCTTGTATTCACCAACAAAATCAGTGGCATAGCCACCTTTGGCCACCGTTAGCCACCGGTGGCACTGTGTTTACTGGGGACTTTCTTGCCGCCGCAACCTGATAGTGTCCATTTACATATGAATGTCGATGACATGAAACTGAACAATAACGATGCCGTCGTATTCTGGCCCATACTAGCACGTGTTGTGCGGTCTTTGATAACCCCTGTGTTTCCTGTTGGTCTTTATGAAGAGGTTCACAAACCCGAGGATGTTCGTACACACCCATATGATATAGTGCATCCTAGGTTGCACTCTCTCACCTACAGCAGGCAGGGGCCGCAGAATCCATATTTGGGGAATGTTGCGCGGAAAATTGGCGAGGATCTGGAAGGTCTTTTGACATCCGATTGAACAGTAACAAGTGGAAGTCGGTGGACGATTGCCACCTTTGGACGGTGGTGCCACTGGTGGTGTGTTTACTGGGTGGATGCGTCTAGCCGACTGCGTCTGAATCACTTCAGCACAATGTTAACGATTGTGGTTAATGAGTCGGGCACATTCCCGGATGATGTGCATGCGGGCACATGACCAAGTTCCAAAAACAGGTTGTACAAACTTTTGTCCCAAATGACTGAGGGAGGCTTCATATCAAATGGTCTACTAGGAACATGGGGAATTGTGTGGAGTTTCATCCATATTGTTCAGCGGAAGGTGATGGAGTTTCCAGGAAATTCCCCTTGCAGTTGAACACCACGTGACTTACTGGTCACTTGGATCTGATGGATGGTGGGCTGGCTACGGCTCAAAAGATGCCATGAGCAAGCCGCTCCGATCTGTGCCAATCAGAATCGAGCACTACAGATCGGCACTTCTGGTCCCATCACGGACTCACGGATCGATACACAGGATCCTTTGCCCAAGCCATGAGCAAGCCGCTCCGATCTGTGCCAATCAGAATCGAGCACTACAGATCGGCACTTCTGGTCCCATCACGGACTCACGGATCGATACACAGGATCCAGACTTTTGCCCAAGTTTCCAGAGTTTCACGAAGTATGTGAAGTGGCCTGTCGAAGCATTCTTGGATCCTTACATAAATACCTCCGCGACAGCCCTAATTTGGCTCCATCAAAAGCTGTCTAAAACTACCCAGCATTTTGTTGTGTCGTAGTTGGTGGAACGACGGGCCAAGCATTCACAAGTTGATATACACGATACAAAAGTCTTCCCCAGTTCTCCTGGGTTGGTATTTCAATGGCTTTGTTTGATTTGAAATGCACAGGCAGAAGAATGGCCTGACACCGTCCTCGAAATCCTCAGCTTTAGGAAATAAGCTTGTCAGTGAAAAAAAACATAAATGGTCCTCTAAAAGCTGTTTGAACTGGATCTCCGAAGTACTGCGGAATGGTGTTTCCAGACGATGATTAAACTTATTGAGAAAAATTTCTCCCTGATGAAGCCACGAGCTCTAGAATCAAAAATATCTTTCCTGTGTCCCCGCCACGTATTATTAGTGTCACGGATTCACGGATTCACGGATTGATACACAGGATCGAGGCTTTTGCCCAAGCCTCCCAGGACGCTTTTGTTCTTGTCGGTCAGTGGCTGTCGTTCACCTGAAAGGCACAAGTGAAAAAAGGGTGTAGCACTGCTCTTTATGTTCTCAGCGCGGGGCAGTATGCTCGCCAGCGCGAGGATTCGCATAAATAAATGTCTAATAGT